GCCAGCCTCAAAGTGCGAGCAGCCAACAAGGAGGTACGTGCTTCGGATGCCTCCGATGCAGATTCGTCCAGGGAGCCACCCGAGGGCGAGGAGCGATCTGCAGAACGCAGTGCGGACGATGAGGCAGCCTACACGGGCGTCTTTGACGCAGTAATAACCCGGGAGCAGCCACTCAGCGAGTACCGCGATCTCATGACACGCTTTGTGCTGACCGATGTCATTGTGCCTGATGAAATTCAGCAGGCCAGCGTGAAGAAGATCGCCAAGGCTGCCCAGGACGTTATATGGCAGATCCTGTTCGAAGGTGCTCCCTCCCAAGAAGACCAAGACAAGGCAGCTGATCTGCTGCAGGAGTACAAAACAGATTCCGGCTTCTATGGCCCCTGGGAATACAACAAATGGATTTTCAAGCTACGCGATGAGGTGCTCACCAAAGAGCTGATCGACTTTTGGCGCGAGAAGATTGTTAAGCTGGAGCTGGGTCCCTGCTGGTCACGCGACTCGGATTTCTTCGAGAACGACGACGACGTGCCCCTCGAGTTCTACAACAAGGCTGGCTGCAAGGCGCCCTTCAACCCTCCAGCCGATACCTAGATGGATAGAATCCGCTCCACTGAAGCCCCCACCACTCCGTTGTCTTCAGCTTTTTGAACAATATCCTATTTTTTCGATAAGTCTGTCGTCCAAAAATCATTTTGGTACACAGTGCTCTTGGTATGTAAACTAAATTAAATGAAAATTGCATACAAAGATGTAAATTTAAGTTTTAAGATCCACGCAACAGGTGTTTCCGAAATTCCTCGAATATAAACAGTGCCTTTGACATTCAATTCAAAAAGATTTTACATTTAAAATTGTAATTTTATGGGTATTTGAAGGTTTCATCAATACATGTAATTCAAGGATGTTTTCTATATTTAAAAGAAAGAGAATAGAAGTCGATGTTAGGGGGCACCGTTGATCCTCTCGGGTCTTATAGACAAATATGAAAGAGACTTGTGTAAGTCTTCGTTTTAAATTGTTTCCAGGTTCTGAACAGGTTGACAAGGTTATCATGTTCCCCTAGTAGTGATTCATGTGTAGTGAAATCCCAGCTGCTGCAAACAGTGGGAGACTTGATTTGAGCATCTGGATCATTGGAATCATTCTTCTTCTTATGACTGTTTAATTATCTCTTTTATATTAAATAGCTTTTGTGGCACTTTCGTGACTTTTCTGTGGTATTCAACAATTGTTATTTAGATGTATACTTTTCGTTTAACACAAATTAATACATGCAATGTATATTCTTATTATATTATTTTCAAAATTTAATTTTGTATAATTTGCAGTATTTCGAATAAAAGTCACATATTTTACAGGACTTGTGTATTTATTTTAAAGAGTATTTAATTGTTTAATGAAATTCTGGACGTTGGACGTTGATATGCAATGACTGCACCATCAAGTGGCCCATGCGACACCAAGCCAAAGCCTGTTACGCGCGGAACCCAGCAGAACGCAGTCCTCCTCCCGCCCAACCGACCGAACCGGTCGCGAGCATGCAGGAAAGATAGATGTTAGGCTAATATTCGAGGAAAATTAGATCTAATCATAACTAGACTAAGCTAAGCAAGCAGAAATTACCAAAATCAGAAACAAGACAAAACTAAAATGAAACTAACTACGGGAGAGGTAGGCTAGTATAAGAGATTTAAGAAGAGGAAGGGAGTTAGTTGAGGATATAATGTGGTAGAGGGAATTATAATCCGAGCATAAAACCCTAAAGGGTTTGTGTGAGGCATAATTCGATCTACATAGTGGAAGGAACAAAGGAATAAAGTTTCTAGTGGGTCTAATGGGAATCGTAAAGTTTATGCGGCTCAGCAAGTCAGGGCTGTCTACATCCCCCTTGATCAAGTTGTGCATAAAAATTACACCAAGCATTTTTCTACGACTAACTAAGGATGGAAGATTTATTAAAAGAAGTCTACTACGGTAGGATGGCAGTCTCACAGTTGCATCCCAGTTGAGGCCCCGTAGGGCAAATAATAAAAAGTTTTTCTGTACTGATTCAATACGGTCCTGATGTATGTTGTACTGAGGGCACCATACACATGAGCCGTATTCTAAAATCGGACGAACAAGCGAGATATAGAGAGTCTTCGTCATCAAATTCCTTTGACCACCTCTTTATAAACCCAAGCACACCCATGGCTTTATTTACCATGGTAGAAATGTGTTCAGAAAACTTTAACTTGGGGTCTACTTTAACACCTAGATCATCAACCAATGTAATTCTCTCAAGAGAACTACCGCAGAGGGTGTAAGGAGCCAGGAAGGGGCTGGAGCGATAAAAGGTCATAACATTGCATTTCGAGGCATTAAGTTGTAACATATTTGCACAGCACCATGACTGAAAGCTATTGAGATCAGATTGCAAGCGAGAGTGAAATGAAATGTCCTTATACTGGACACAGAGTTTAACATCATCCGCATACATAAGTACTCGAGAATTTGTTAATACAGAAGGCAGGTCATTAATAAAGAGTGTGAAAAGTAAGGAGCCTAAATGGCTACCCTGTGGTACTCCAGAAGTAACCATAACAGGTAAAGATAAGGAGTTTTTGAAAAGGACCCTTTGAGACCTAGAACACAGGTAGCTAGAAATCCATCTCAACAGATTGGGCGGAATCCTTAGAAGGTCGAGCTTTTGTGCAAGAAGAGAATGGTTTACAGAATCGAATGCCTTACTGAAGTCAGTGTAAATAACATCCGTCTGCAAGTTACTTTGGAAGCCTTTAATTACAAAGGAGGTGAACTCTAAAAGATTAGTGGTTGTTGATCGTCGCCGTATAAATCCGTGCTGAGCTGGAGATATAAGTGATTTGCAGAGATGCTGCAAGTGCGGAGTTAAAAGTTTCTTGAACATTTTAGGAATAGCGGATAACTTAGATATACCTCTATAGTTTTTAGCGTCAGCCTTGCTACCTTTTTTATGGAGAGGAATTATAAAGGATTCCTTCCAGATGGGGGAAAGCTAGAAGAATGGATAGATAGAGTCCGCACAGAGACTCGGCACAGTACCTGAGTACACAGCCGGGAACTCCGTCAGGGCCCGGTGAAAATACCGGCTTAACTAATTTAAGTTCATGAAGTAAGGAGCCTTCATTAAACAAAGGACAGAAAATGCCATTCGACCTTGGTAAACTATATGGATACATATGACATGAGTAGCTTTGCTGGGAATAGGTTATTTGAAAAAATGTTGCAAAAAGATCGGCGATTGCCTGATCATTGTTTGCCGACATATTCAAAAATGATAGCGAGGATGGATGTGCGGACGTTCTACGCTTACTGTTTACAAAGCTGTAAAACTGTTTAGGGTCCTGTGAAAAACGTATCCTGCATCAAAGGAGGTAGTTCCTATAGCATTGAGCATTAAGAACAGTGAAATTTGACCGAGCTATTAAGTAATTAGAAAGAGAAGAGGGAGAACCAACTTCTTGAGATTTTTTAAATAGTCTTGATTTTAGATTTTTTAGACTGGATAACTCTTTGGTGAACCAAGGAGGTTTCGCAGATCTAGTCGGACATGAAAGTGGGACACGCGTGTCAAAAATTGTGTCAAGTACATTGTAAAAAATGTTTGTGCCTTCAATGACGTCACTGCACAAGTACAGAGCGGACCAATCAAAATTTCGAATTAAGTTATTGAGCTTCGTAAACTCGGCTTTACGAAAGCAGCGGACGCGTTCAGATAGCCTACCCGCACGATCCGATACAGTAGGTCCAATATCTATCGACACTTCGAAAGTAGGATGATAGCAAATAATTTGTTTGTTTTTTAATTGACAAAAAAATTAACGAGAAAGGACGTGTGAGACGCTTCTTACGCGTCACAACTTTTATACCCGGCATTCAGAACTACTTCTGCACCTTAGCGATGTTTTGTCAAATTTTAAATTTTTTCTTCAACTGTCATCTACATCTACAACACTTCTCACACCAACACGCTCCTTTAGCTCGCCGCCCTTCCCTAGACCCACACACTGCAGACTCGCGGCAGAGGCAGAGGCAGCGCGCGCACACAAAAAAAAAAACAAATATAAGCTGTGGGACGGGGTGGGTTAAAAGTCGGAAGAGTCATCGCCAGGGGGAGGGCAGAGGCAGGGGCCGAGTGAAGCAGAAGCAGAGTGTGAATGAAAGAATGTAAAAAGAACAACAAAAAATGCGGGACAGGGTGGGTTTAGCCACTGGAAATTAATTTCTTCATTGTGGCTATAATAATAATCCAATCGGATCCCAATTTGGTGATCTGATAGATATGGCCATTCCCTACGGAATGGCGTTTTTAGTTTTTTATCTTCAAAATTGTAGGTTTGGGAGGGTTTCGCCTTTTTGCGGGGGCGGGGCTCATTTTTGAAATACACTGGTTTCAGTGTGAGCATACAGCAGTCTGGAGCCAAATTTTGGTGGCTCTAGCTCTTATAGTCGTATATAGGAAACGTTTCCGACCCCATAAAGTATATATATTCTTGATCAGCATCAATAGCCGAGTCGATAGAGCCATGTCTGTTTGTCCGTCCGTCCGTCTTGTTTGTTGGCTAGTTCTCAGAGACCATAAGAGCTAGAGCCACCAAATTTTGGCTCCAGACTGCTGTATGCTCACACTGAAACCAGTGTATTTCAAGAATTAGAACCGCCCCCCTAAAAGGGCGAAAATCTCCCAAATCTACAATTTTGAAGATAAAAGAAATCTAAAAACACCATTCTGTAGGGAATGACCATATCTATCAGATCGCCGATCCGATTGGATCATTATTATAGACACAATGAAGAAATTAATTTGCAGTAACTAAACCCACCCTGTCCCGCAGCTTATATTTGTTTTTTCACAAACAAATATAATTTTTGTTTGAATAGAAAACACTAAAATAGAGAACTTTGAATAGTTTTTCGGATTCTTTTCACTTCAAGTCTTAAAATATTGTATTTGGGGTTTTTGGGTAAACATTTGCTTTACAAAATTTAATTGGTTAACACTAAAATTAAACACGAAATTAAACTTTAAAATGCCGAACACGAACAATAAAATAAACTAAAATAAATTCGAAATTTTCACTTTCACTGACTAGAGAACATTTCTTTCTTACTTTTTATGTTTTTTTTGGTTGTCTCTATGCTTATTTTCTGCGTATTGTATATGGGTTTTCGGTGTGTAAAACTCTCAACTGGAAATATAAATATGAATAAACATTAAATGTTAAATATTAAAGGGTAAAAACTCAACATTTGAACAAATATCAACGAAACGAAACGAAACTAATAATTTGCGTCCTTTCAATCTTAGCGATTAATTTTGTTTTTAAAAAAATAATATGTCATGGCAGTTGGGGGCTAAAGGGGATGGGGCCAACCCATTTTACTCAAAGTAATGCAAGCGGGAGCGGGATTTGCGCAGGGTACGGGAACCGGTGCTAGTGCCACCGCCAATGCCACTGTCAGCGCCGTCACCATCGCCGCACTGCCACGACTTGGTCTTGGCACGAAAGTGGCGAAACTCTTCGTTATGAGCAGGCGCCAGCATGGGCACATATTCACGTGGCTCGCAGAGATTGGCATATAAATTGTAAAACTCCTTGTAGCCATTGTGCAGGAGGTACAGCTCCGGATAGTCGAGGGCCGGATAGTTGTGAGTGTGCTGGTTGCGATCGATGCTGCGCAGGAAGCGTAACAGCTTCGGACCGCGCTCCGAGGAGAACTCACAGTGGAAGATGTAGATGTGGCGCTGATCCGTCAGGTGCTGCTGAAATGCTGCGGATGGAAATGCCTCCTTGATGAGCGCCCGCGTGTATAAATTGTGGGCGCCGCGTATGTGACCACCCTCGTACTCGTACGGATAGCGACAGTCGATGATCTGGTAGCCGTAGTCGTTGCCCAGCTGCTCCCCAAACTCCCCATTGATCAGGCGCGCCAGCGTTTCACATGAAATGGTCTTCAAGTCGCGATGACGGGTGCCCGTGAGCAGGCAGGGCAGGACACACGGTTTGCTCAGATCGCCAATCAGTTCCGGCTCATCGCCCAGGGCTGTGAGGATGTCGGCATCGTTCATGGACATGGATCTGCGCTGAAGCATGCGCGTGGTAGTGACGCTGGCGGTGGGTGACTTGCTGCTAGCCACGGACACGTTGCTGCCGCTGGAGTCCTCCTCCGCCAGTTCCCTGGGCAGCATGCTCAGGCATCGACGTGCCGAACGGTACTTTGGCTCCGAGCCGCTCTCCGAGATGTGCTCCGTCTTCAGTTGGCCGCTGATCAGCTGCTCGAGATCGCCAGGCAGGCCCACAGCAGCAGCATCCCGCTGGTCCAATTCGAACATGTGCAGGTACTCATCGTCGAGGGAGTTGCCCGAATCGCAGCTGGACTCGATGCTGTTGATGCTATTGAAGGGTCGCAGGCTATTGCTGGACTTGGGTGTACCCCCACCGCTCTCATTTAGCCGCGCGCCGCGCATATTGTACGCCAGCTCGGTGATGGGCGACAGTACGGTGCCGGCCGAATTGCCGGGAATGTGCCGCTTCAGCATCCGATGCAGCGGCGTCTCCAGCTGCCCCTTGTGGCGCTTCGCCACATTATTGTGAGCTACATTCTCCTGATTCTCTGGATCAAAGCCAAAACTCTCATCCTGTTCGCAATCGTCGAGCATCAGCCGCTTGCAGGCCATGGCGCAGCAGCTGTATCTGCGATCCGCGATCCGCGATCAGCTGGCAATAAAGACTTTCACCCGTAAAATACTCAAAGAGTGGATTTTCGTTATTATTTTGCTGATCAATTTGGATAGAGCGTGCTGCGATTCGGTTCTTTTGGCTTCCCTTTTGGTCTGTCTGTATTTCCCTTTTCCCTTTCCGCGGCAAAGACTTTTGGCGCCTTTCACCAGTTCCCCCCATCCCTTTCTAAAATCACACTCATATTAGCAGGTAAGTAAACATTGCAGCAACATAGTGATGTGCACTGGCCGATGGCTGGTGTGGTGGATTCGAGTTATTTCAATTTGAATTGGAGTTTTATGCGGTTTTGCAGGTTAACTTTTTTTGACAAAATTTTAAAATGTAAAATGTGAGTGATTATGCCAGGGTAAAATGTTTGCCATGACTCGAAAAATGTTTGTCAAGCAACAAATGAGTTTTAAATGCATTATGGCTCGTAAATTTTCATTTTTCATTAACATATAACATTTATCCAAAAATAACACATTACTTTATATTTTTACAGGTTTCTAAGCTATGTTTTGCATTTTTTAGTACTTGGCTAAGCACTAAGTTTTTAGCCAGTCAGCAGAAAGACCGGTCTTTATGGCTGAAAAGACACCTAAATAGATGAAGCAACGGGTTTTCCGCCAACTTGAAGTGAACAAATGAATCACACAACCCCCGTAAATAACATTCAAGACATTTATCTCCGTCATGTACGCCGGCTCCGCCACTGACATGCTCCAGAAACACCAAGATCTGCTGTCCGTAAGTAAGAGACACACACACACAATGATTGGACACGCATTTTAGCACACAGCAGTGAGCACACAGTGCAAAATACACTCTCGCCTGACGGACTGACTGTTAATTTAATCGGCCACTCTTTAGCCTCAACTGTCAGTTAAGTTAAAGCGCCACTTTATCGGTGTGTTGCCCCGATCTTTATCCCGACTGTCATTACCAAATTCAACTTAAGTGCTGTCAAAAGATATTTACCGTTTCGCTTTTGATTTTGTCTTAATGTTTGTATTTTTGTTCTTTATTTTATTTTTTATTTTTTTTCCCCAATGGCTACAGACATCTAAACCTGTTTTTTGCGTTAATCTGAGTTTGCTGTGATTTAATAATAGCACACTAAAATCGTTGATTTATTTCATTATTTGGTTGTGCCTCTGCGAAACATCTGAATTAAATTTAAAATATTCGAAACACAGAAATTCACCACGCTTTCGATCAGCTGTTTAGGCTTTGGTGATCTATTGGATGGCCACCATAAGAAAAGGGTGGTGAAGTAGAAAATGGTGCGCAAGTAGGACGAAAACAACGCGTGTTTAGGACAATAATTAATAAAGAGTGCGATTAAGTGAGAAATAAAGTTTTAATAATATATTTTAAAGGTATTTTTGAAGCACGTGGGGAGCAAAACTGTAACAAGTTACATATTTCGACGTGGCGATTTCCACCTTGTTAAGGCGGGCGGCCAAATAATCCCCCTCTACCCAAGGGTAGAGAGGTAACATAAACCCTAAAAAAAAAAGTTTGGATAAAGGTTACAAGTGCAGCGGATATAGAGGGAGACTAAACCGGAGATTAACGCTGTGTTTTTATGCCCTTTGATTAGTGTTTTGTAGGTTTTGTGAAATTTTTGTAGCACGAAAATACAAGCCATGTCCGTCCGTCTGTTCTTTTCCTCAAATGCAAAGTATCTTCATAAAAACAATTAACTTCTATGTGCTGTGCTGATCAGGATAAATGAATACAGCTAATATTGATAAAATTTCGTGAGCTGTTTGAGAGTGTTCCGTCCTTGTATTTACTTGCATTTCTGGCAAATCTACATTTGTATAAATCATTTCATTAGCAGACAATTTAAAATAAGCTTCTTAAAAACATAAGTCTAATAACATAAGTCTTCAGGTGATAAGTGTGAGGGATAAAAAAAAACATAATTGAATTTGCTCTGCAAATATTCAATATTTTTTAGCTTTTACCAGTTTCTTTCTTTTTAGGCGCTGCCAACTGATCATCAAAGCAGTCACAGCTGATTGGAAATGTGGTTAATCTCTGTGTTTAAAAAATTTGTATGCCAACAAGAACTTCGAAAACTGCATTACAACACATTTATGAAGGTTAGTTTAATCTAAAACCATTAATGATTTGTACTGCCGTTAAGTGAGCCATAAAATGGGCATTTAAAACGAGTTCACCAAACACAAATTTAGTTGAATTACACACTCCTGCCACTTATTAACGAACTTACATTCACGCACTTACATTACTTACATACATACATACGTACGAGGAGGTGCACCACACATTTCAGTTTGATATCGAATACTCGGAGCAAACATGTGGCGTGTTGGCAACGCTTAACAGCATCCAAAATTGACAGGTAACTTTAAATATATTACATTTGCGGGGCCGTTCAGCATGCTTGTCTGCCACGATTAGTGGCAAGCAGCAGGCCAGGCTGCGGCAGCAGGCCAGGCTGCGGCAGCAGGCCAACAAGGCAGCCCAGCTCCACAAGAGGCAGCAAACACGGGCAAACACCAAGCACAGGCATGCGAAGGCATCCCAGCCAGCTATCCAGTCATCCAAGCTATCTCCTTTAAAAACCAAATTCATTTGGTGAATGGGGCGAAGACGTGCAATGCGGCACGACGTGTACAATTATTAATTTGATACGAAATAATTGACATGTTGCCGATGCCAAAAAGGAAGCACTAACATGCAGCAGACAACAGCAGTAGCAAGAGCAACAACATGAAGCTGCAACTTGGCAAACATGCTAAGCCATAGCGACGCATATTAACGCCATGTTTTAGATACAAGGACCGTGGACTACTTGCCTTAGCGATGGCCATTTAAGGGACTCAGCCACGAGACTCAGGCTGGCATCGCGAATGAGATATGACTGATTTGAGTATTTTATGCAACTTTTAAATGTTGCATGCATATTTATACATATGTATGTAGTGTTTAGCTCCTCTCTAACATTTAATTTGCTACCCTGTTGCACGTCTGCCTCTTTTTGCCTATTTTTTCGTGAACGTCCTTCTGTGGCTCTTCTACTCTTGTTACTTAATCGTTGCGGACACAAACACACTTGGTGTTTGGCCACAACAGCAACAATATACAACAAAATGTACAACAAAAAGCTACAAAAAGCAGCCGGTCCAGCCAGTACGGCTTACTGCCTGTAGCTCTTTTGCCGATCTTCTTTGATATTTTGCTTGACTTGGCTTGTGTGTGTGGTAAATTGTTGTTTGCTGCCGCTGCCTCTCTTGCCTGTTTGTTGTTGACTCGTTGTTGAATCGTTGGCCAATATTCAGTCGGTCAGACATGCACATTTTTTTCTGTGTCTATAATGTTAGTTGTGTTAGTTTTTTATGCAAATTTTCTTGTTTCATTTGACAAATTGTCTGTTCGACTTAATGATGGAAAGTAGGTTGTGGATGGCCATACAGTGTGCAGTTCACCCCTCCCCGAGTACGAGTTTTGTAAGTGTGATGCAGTAATGGCAGCAGTTGAGTTGATTATACTCCTCCATGATTAATTACTCGGCCACACTGTTTTTTAGAAAGTGCACCCAAAATGTGCACTAAAATTTGAAATATGTATGTAAATAATTGTAATGGGTTTTTTGTACAGCAAATGAGGCGGGTTTAAGATATGTATTATAAAATGGTATACGAATAGGTTTGATATTCCACCTGTTCATGTTTTATTTAAATATTTTTAATATTTAATATCTTGAAATTTTCTTGCGAACTATTTAAATGTAATATCCTTTTGAATTTGAGTAATTTTCAACAAAAGAATAGTCGAGATCCATCCCTCCACTGACATGATTTTGCATTTGAGTGGACAGCACTAAATATGTTGTAATCTGATCTATAAATTGTTTTTTGCTGCACAAAAATAAAGCTTACAAAATTTTAAGTTATACTAGAGTTACTCTTTAATTAAGGCGCTGAATGGATCTATGAAAAATTTTAATTAAGTAATTTAGTTTTAGAGTTAATCGAGCAGATCCATGAACCATTTTAATTTTCTTCCCTTACACTTGGTAGCAGAAATAAATTGTAAAAGTGAAAAACTGACAGATTAAACTTTAATCATCTCTGCAGCGTCAAAACAGCTATACAGCTCAATTAAAAAATATAAAAGTCATCTGACTATTAATTAACTTGAGTCAATCTAAAACTGCACTATATTCTACCATCAATTGAAATACTAATCATCCTAAGTTATAATGTTTATATAATTATGCACTAATTTTTTCTTTTGCATTTACCTCAGGTTGCCTTCAACACTGGAAGCACTTTTCGCTCTCAAAGGGTTATCTACCTTATCTGTCGTATTTATGTCCCATTTATCCACTCTCACACCTTCGGGAAACGGGCACAAGGCACAGCCTGTCTGATTTTCTTGTTTGGAATTGCCACAGTCACCGCAGCAATAAATCAATTATAGTCATAAGAGCAAATGGAAATGGAAAACCATTAAATTCTTCTGTTTTGAAACCTTTAACGTTAACGGGGAAGATGGATGGATGGATGAATGCCTATAATTACTAGCCATATAAAAAAATGATTAGCAGCGCCGCCAAAGCGATATCATACGATGGTGTTTGCCGATTGGTCTGAATAGTGGTGGGAAGAGGAGGGAAACATGACAAATTGCGAGAAGTTATGTTAAGTTGATGGTTTGGCCTGCACCACACACAGCAACTGATTATAGACTTAAAGACGGGGAGAAAGAAAAAGTGCATAATACTAATTTCATTTTAAACGACCTGACCAGCAGCATCACCACTGTAGCTGTGGCAACGTATGCATATAATTTAGGTAATTGCATAGGAGATGGTGGCCCTCTTGATGATGTTATCATGGGACTCGGACGCGGACTGGGACTTACATCTTTCAGATGCATTATCAAACAATTTCCGATGCCTCGAACAGCTGCTCGACGCTGCTTGTTCCCCTTAATTAATGTATCGATTAATGGGCCCACACCGTCACGCTTGCACACTCAGAGACGGTGGGGACGGAGGGTGGAGGCTGCTGGAATTATAAACCGCTGATAAATCAATTTACTCTTCTGCAAACTCTCGTGTGTGTGCTCTTTGGTTCGTTCGCTCTGTTCGCTCTGATGGTTACAAAATGTAATGAAGCCATTTATATCACTCCCAAGGTGTGTATGCCCCCGTCTATAGCATGCAATAGTTTCCCCAACCACATATCTATACATCCAGCTCTTTCGTTCTTCCACTCCTTTACTACTTTACTCCTCCGTTCTCATGCCAATATTTCTCGTTGCCGTTGCACCTGTCTTTCATCAGGTATTTTCCATTTTTATACCCGGTACTCAAAGAGTAAATAGGGTATATTGTATTTGTGCGAATAACGGTTGTATGTAACGCACAGAAGGAAGCGTTTCCGACCCCATAAAGTATATATATTCTTGATCAGCATCAATAGCCGAGTCGATAGAGCCATGTCTGTCTGTCCGTCTGTCCGTTTTGTTTGTCGGCTCGTTCTCAGAGACCCACGGAGAGCCCACCCCGTACCGCAGAGACATTCACACTCTGCTTCTGCTTCACTCGGCCCCTGCCTCTGCCCTCCCCCTGGCGATGACTCTTCCGACTTTTAACCAAGACTCGGTTCTGAACGCTAGATGGCGCCACTTTCGAAAAATTTGGTTTCACACCTATCGGTTATTATTGCACAGAATGTGCAGACCATTGGACCACTTTCGAAAAATTTGCTGTGAAACCTATCGGTCCAAGAATGTACCAATTTTATTGCTGTTTTAAATATCTCATAAATTGGAAAATATTAACTGATCCAATTTGTTTGATGCATTTTATTTAGTAGGCTTTTACTACGTGTTCTGTAATGTGAACGATATCTAGTGGTTGGCGATGTCTTCTACATCTAGATGTAGTCCTGAGTGCAGGGTATAAAAGTTGTGACGCGTAAGAAGCGTCTCACACATCCCTACTCGTTGTTTTAAGAAAAAGGGAAGTCGTGTCCGAGGGTAACTTTGTAAGAGTACTTATGTAATTACTGTTTACGTGTCCCAAGAAATTAAATAGTTTTACAAATTATTCACCTAGTTTTCGAGGGAATAGTACCTTCGTGGCCGGCACAACATCATATCGTTGTCGAGCAAGGCAAATTATATTTCTAAAGTGAAATCTCGACTGGAAAATAGGGTCTCCTATGTTTGTTTTAATAATACATATATCATATACCCGGTACTAAAAGAGTAAATAGGGTATATTGTATTTGTGCACCAAAGTGGTAACGCAGAGATGGAAACGTTTCCGACCCTATAAAGTATCTATATATCTAGCCATGTCTGTCTGTCTGTCCTTCCGTCCGTCTTGTTGAGCGCCTGGATCTCAGAGACTATAAAAGCTAGAGCCAACAAACTGGCTGCATTCAGACTTCTGTGCTCACACTGTTACAATTGTATTTCAAAATTTCGCCCCGCCCCCTTCCACCCTCACAAAGGGAAAAAATATCCCACAGCGACAATTTTCCATAGGAAAGGACTACATATATCAGATCGCCGATTGGGATCAGATTGGATCATTATTTTAGCCACAATGAATAAATTAATTCCCAGTGGCTAATTAGTTTTATCACGAAAAAAGTCTCATAAAATTATTAGGTGTTTATTAATATGTTTATATGCGTTTTGATTTTTGTTTTAAACATAATCTTGAACCTTTTTTTTTTTGTTTCTCTCTCTTTATATTTAAAACCTGTTTGTTTAAACAATAAGTAAATTGTATAATTAATATTAAATTAACAGAAATAGCAGTTTTCCAATGAACCCTGCTATTATATATAACATCTTTTCAGTTTGTTGGATTTATCTATCGGGGAGATCGAGAATGTGATATCTTTTCAGTCTTCTTACTGTTAAGCTATTGTCTAATAGAATTAAGGCTAAATTATTTTCGTGGTTGTGGAGTCTGTCGATGTATTTCTTACTAGTTTTCTTTATTTCTTCTTTAATTGTTGGAATATTCAGATATTTGTGGATGTTTGCATTAGATACGTAAAACGGAGTATTGACAATGTGTCGCAAAGTTTTTGATTGGATCTTGAACCTGGTGATTTAATTCTTACAATTGTCATATTACATAATATTTTTATATATTTATATGAAAAGATAATTAATTTATTTTGTAACCCAAACAATTGTTTAGGGTGGCATTTTTTATCTTTGAAGCATAATCGGAAACCACTTGATCCATCTTTTATTAGAAAAGGTGGTTTGCATCTTACATATTTCAGTCTACATTTCAATATATTTATTTGTTTATTTGGTAACTTGTTGTTAAAACTTGTTTATTTGAAAACTTTAAACTTGGATATCGTTGCTGTTATTTGACTTTTTAAAATGCTGTCGTTTGAATAATATTTCCCCATTTCCCGATCGTGCTGTAATATATCATCCTTCCTTCAAATTACTACACAATTTATGTATTAAAATTGTAAACTTAGTTGAAGTTAGTTAGTAACTGAACTAGTTAAAACTAGTTAATTGGAGATGTCCACTCGCTCCCACCTGCGTTCTTTCGTTCTTTCAGATCATAAATTTCCTGAAAACTTTTCGAGTTAATTGAAATGTATCTTTTCAATTATATCGCCTTCATCCATCCGTTTTCCCCTCTCTTTTTGTATTAAAAGCTATGGCGTATTAATCAAATATCATGTTGAGGGCATATAAAGATGTTTTCATGAATAAATTTCCTACAATGTTTTTAAGCATATTCAGTGCCCGTTGCACCCCTACTCTGCAGCACCCTTATACTTTTATATTATGGTAAATGATATGGTTGAATGAAAAATTACTGGAACGAAAAGCAATGCAAACAAAACAACGAGAAGGGACGTGTGAGACGCTTCTTACGCGTCACAACTTTTATACCCGGCACTCAGTACTACTTCTGCACCTTAGCGGTGTTTTGTCAAATTTTCAATTTTTTCTTCATCTGTCGTCTACATCTACACACTTCTCACACCAACACGCTTCTTTAGCTCGCTCCACTTCCCTAGACCCACACACTGCAGACTCGCGGCAGACGCAGTGGCCGCACACAGCAGAAGCAGAGTGTATTGATGGATTGATAGTTGTGGATGGGGGCTGGGCTCATTTTTCAAATGCTCAAATACACTTGTTGCAGTGTGAGCATATAGAAGGCTGGACGCAAAATTTGGTGGCTCTAGCTCTTTTAGTCTCTGAGTACTAGGCGCTCATCAGGATGGACAGACGGACGGACAGGCAGACATGGCTCAATCGACTCGGCTATTGATGCTGATCAAGAATATATATACTTTATGGGGTCGGAAACGTTTCCTTCTGTGTGTTACATACTTTGTGCACAAATACAGTATACCCTATTTACTCTTCGAGTACCGGGTACATAAAATTGTTGCCAATTTTGATATACCAACACTTGAGGCACAATTTTAACACTGGAGCCTGCCACGCCACTGCCACTGCCACTGCCGCCGCCAATGTAGCCATCAGGCAGCATGCAATTTTCAACTAACGAGCAAAAACAGCAACAGCAAAAGCAACTGAAACAACAACAAAAGCAGCAGAAAACGACTGCAACATGGAAACAACCAAACTGCCTTGTCGTGGTAATCAATTTTAAAATTTATGACAAAATTTGCAGCTTTAAATTATGCCATTAAGCACGGCATGTACTCATATCGTCAGGCTGCCTGCGCTGCCTGGACTGACTGTAGCTGGGTGATGGCCCCGTCCTCTGGCGGCTTAAAACAAGAAAAAGCCAAAGGAGAAAAATGTTAACTGCTTTCTTGTGTGTGCGTTTCCATGCAATGGCGTTTGCATTATACGCTCGTATTTCGCCACATTCAACAACGAGCTACAGAATGACGGGTGGCCATAACTCATGCCCGATGCCAGTATGCCCCCCAGCCTCCCCTCTGTCTGTAGCACTCGAGAGGAAAGCCGTGTTGTCTGAGACCTGGCCAGCAGTTGTTGGAATTACAACTGGACACCACATGCTACAGCTACAGCTGCTGCCTTCTCTGTGGGCCCCAATGTCTGTGTTGTGTGTGTGCTTGTGTGTGTTAAATATTGCAATTTATCACGCAAATGCGTTTTTCAATTTTAACATGCCGCTAGGCATCATAAAAACGTTACCCCGACAAACACATCCCCCCCCCCCCCCCCCCCCCCCCCCCCC